CCCCCCCCCCCCCCCCCCCCCCCCCCCCCCCCATAGAAACCCTTCCTGCCTGCCACCTACACTGAGGCCAACTACTGACACCAGAGTGGCAGCAAGGAGGAACAAACTATCAACTGGCAGTGGCACAAAGGGAAAACGAGGGTTAAACATGCTAAGTTAAGAAATGGAGATGGGTCAAGTGGTGAGAATAGAGTCACTATGTACAGTATTTGTGCGTGTTCCTCCTATGGTAGGATCTGTGCATCTTACTTCTGCGTTGTTGGTTCAGCGAGGACTCGACTGATGGCAGAAACATTACCTCTAAGGAAAACGTGTTACTTTTGCTTCGTCTTCGTTTGACTTCCATCTCATGCTTGTGGATATTTAGGTTTACAAGGACCGTGGGGGATTGTGCGTCACTGTGGAAACAAAGTCAGTGGGAACAAACACCTGAAAGGGTGACACTGTGACCTTACCGTGACAGTGCATCATCCATGGAGTCTACTTCTTCTTCTACTGGTGTGTCATTGAAAGTGTCCGAACAAAGGACAAGGAGAGATCGGACGTCTTGTAGTGGCCATTGTTTTTTCTTTCTCATTTTTCTTTCAGCCAGTCTGCTTTGTCTTCCTGTGTGTATATATGTGTCAGACATGACGATGACATACGTGTGTCTGAATATGTCCAAGGAAGTAGTTCTAAACCATCAAGCTGCTGGTGAAACACTAATGCTTACTCACAACACTATGGGAGTAATTCCAGATCTTTCTTTTTCAAGTTTGTCTGTTACACCGAGGTTGTACAGACACAGTTAAAAGAAGCTGAAAACAAGTAGTTTTGCATGTTGCCTGTTTACACTGTGTCCTAATGACCAGCTTGTGCAGATGATTTATCAAGTTCTTGTCAACCTCTAAACACATCCTCGAGACGATATGTGAGGCGTGCTTTTAAAAACATCGAGTTCGTAGTATTTAGGTTCATCCACTGTAATATCGGTAGATATAGAGAAACCGTTATTAGAAACAGCTCATGAGTTGCTGCGTACGTCCTTTTGTTTTTGTCCATGAAAGCCCCGACATGAGTGGATGTGTAAGAGGAGCACAAAGGCAGTCACCACCAGTGAATGTGGTTACAAAATAATACCACGAACAATAACAATAAGAGGCTTAGAATATGTGCAAATACATAGAAAGTTGTGCAGCTTTGGCCTGTACCTGTGTTATGGTTTCTGAAGAATGTCTATAAATTGATTCCATATTGCTTGGATGGAAATGAAATGGATTTTTTTTTTTCTTTTTTCAAAAAATAAACACAATTTTAGTTTTAAGTGTTTTGGGGTTTGTATGGTTGTACATCTGCGCATATTCCCCCCTGACTTATAATATGAGCAAGTTGTCTGATTTGATTTGGGGTCTGTATATGTAGCACCGGACACAGCTGTGTATTGTCAATGCTTTATGCCAATGGATGTTTTCCAATGATGTTGAGTAGGAAGTACTTAATGCATTCTGGTTATTTGTTATGTTTACATCACATCTCTTTAGATCTACAGATGATAAAAGTCACTCGCATGTGAATCTGTTCCCAAAAACACAAAATGCACATTTCGACACCTGAAAAATATTTTCTATTCAACATAACTTAAACCTTGATAGACACACGCATCTCTTGGAGCTCTCCCTTTTTTTTTTTTTTTTTTTTTTTTGGAGAATGCCAGATCTGCAAGCATACAGTAAGCACGGTCAAGAAAAAAAAAAAAGACATTTTTTGAATCAATGAAACATACCGTAAGTAGAGAATAAAGAAAAATCAAAGCTACTTGTAAAGGAAACAAAAAGGCTAATTCTACCCGTTAACCTGTAAGAGGGCATCGCCTTTCTCTCATCGCTGATATACCTGATTATTATACGGCCTCAATGTCTCTGCAGCACTTGAGTTACAAAAGAAAAGAAGCATTAAAACAAGCTACAGGTGCCATGTGTGTAGATGATAAAATGACTTGTATTACGTAGAAAAATACCTGAATAGAAGAGTAGGTCAGGTAATGTGCTACTAGCTGAGGCGTGTGTCTGACCTGTAGCTGTGTACACTTAACATTTATATGTAGGGACTGACTGTAATTGACTATGGTGCGTTTTTGCTTTGTTTTCTACCATTAACATCATCCCGATAGATTCACACACGGGCAGGCGTGCCAACGTCGTCTCACTAGGGGTGTAGCTTCACTAATCTCCTGAGTTCAGAGTCTTCATTAATGCATTGTAACATAAGCTATTTATTTGCAGTTGTGTGTTTTTAATTTATTTTTCAAGAATGGGAAATAATTCATGTGCAGACAGATTTTTTTTTTAAAATTTTTTATTTGTCAGGTGCTTATTATGATGATTGTGAACTGGTTCCATTTAGATTTTAACTGTGTCAAAGTTCTGTGTATAGTGCAACATATCAAAAAAATAAATATTAGATATCTGAAGTGTGATGGTGCCATGCGTTTCTGTAAGTTTTTAAATGTACAAGTTTTGCCATTCCTCTTTTTTTTAAAATTTTTAAACAATGTTTAAAACACAGTCCATCTATTGGTGAAATATGTAAAACTTTTACATATTTCACCAATAGATGGACGGTCTGATCAGAGGGGGTGACGCCTCCATTCAGCCTCAGTCAGCTCTCAAGAGCTCTTATCCAACCAGCTCCTCAGACATGCTTGTCCCTGCATGAGGTGCAACAAATAGCTACTGTATGAAACACTTTGCCTGGCTCCCACACAGAGTCTCTGCTGGTGATGTGTGATTGATGGACTACCTGCTGAAGTGACTGAAGGCAACATTTCAGCCAGGAAAGAGAGGATTGGGAGGAGGGATGGATAGATGGAAGAGTAGTGAGTGTGAGAGGTGGGGGGGTTGGGTATTTGTGATTAGCCTTGAGTTGATCCCTTGGGAGCAGATGGTGAATGGTGGCTTACCTACAGAAGACGCCTTGAATCCCAGGATCTAGTTTGTGTCCACGCTGAAAGGAGTAGCACTGAAGTTGAGGAAGACGTAGTACAAAGGCTCATGAGACGGGACTGCTGGGGGACAGGTGAGGGACATTTCCATGCCTCAAATGATGCTACTAGAACATAACTGACTTCATGGTTATAGGTAGAATATGTGATTGTAAACTGTGGGAGTGAGTCTATGGTACTCTGTATAGTCAGGCCTTGTATGTAGTTTACCGTAACATCAGCCGTCCCTCATAGATTGAGACCATAACAAGACGCAGGCGGGACGTGACATCATGTTGCTGAGAGACCTGAGTGTAGCTGCCGAGCTGCTGCTGCTGCTGGTCTGTGTCCAGCGTCTGCACGGCTCTGCTCTCCCGGCTGTTTCCTCCTACGAGTTCAGAGCCTACAGGATGCAACAGTTCAACCTGGTACAAAGGAAGCATGGTGAGTTCAGAGCGTTACACCTCAACTCCAGAGGTGGAGGGTGATTATGTACATTTACTCAAGCTCAGTACAGCTGTGAGGTACTTTACTTGAGTATATCCATTTAATGCTGCTTTAAATTATACTCTACTACATTTCAGAGGGAACTATTGTACTTTTTACTCGACTACTTCTATTTGACAGCTGTAGTTACCAGTTATTTAATCCAGTATTTAAACCTATTTGGCTTGTGACCTCAAAAGCTGTGTCTACTCGGGGGGCCCTTGTCTTGTTTCAGATCAAGCAGTGGAGTACAAATACAACATATCCTCTAAAATGTAGTGTAGTAGAAGTGTGAACTAACAAAGAATAGAAATACAGTACAGTACTTGAGTAAATTGGCTCGAGTTGATATTTGTGTTCATTTCATTTGTCTTCTGAGGTTGCCGTGGAGCCATCGTGGTGGCAGAGGCGCGCTCAGCCGATGAGCCGGTGCTGACCCGCCGCTGCGTCATCATGAAGGTGCTGGACTTCACCACAGAAAAATACCTTGAGGCCCAAAAGCAAAGTGCTGCGGCCATCCTGATCCTGCTGCCCAAAAATATCTCCGCTATCCCCCATGACACTGTGCAGGTAAACAAGTTATCCAGAAACACCTTTCTGCTCCAGGACATGCTGCAAGGCAACAAGAAAAACATTCTTATTTTCTGACAGGATACAGTTTTGTAATATGATATATTGTATCTTAGTGCTCCAGGGTTTTAGGTAGCAGCTTGCTGAAGTGTTATGATCACCCCACCGCGGAGCATCTTTCATATATCTGCGACTAGAAAGAGTTCCCTTTTCCCCTCGCAGTCCTTCATGGTGAGTGAGAGCGAGGCCTTGCTGAAGGAGACCCTCATGCCTGTGTATGTGGTGCCTGAGGACGAACAGCTGCTTTACATGTATGAGGAGGTCAAGCAAGCTGCTGCCACCAGGACCTCGTCTATATTCGTCAGAGGTGAGAGGAGCGAGAGGGTCGTTACATTTTTAGGAGGTGAAAAACATTAAAACATCTCCATTCCGAGGTTTGTATATGTTTTCTTTTTTCGCAGTGCTTCGTAGTATGGTCACAGCGACAGCCTTTCAGATCTTAGTGAGCAACAATGTCCCTATTAAGGGCATCACTGACAACATCATCACCACACTGGAGGTGAGTATGGAACCGACTGGTACCAACCTCTGACCGCATGACGTTCTTCAGATGCCAGTCGAACCTGATTAGTTTGGCTTGTGATTGGTCTTCAGCGCCGCACTGTATAACTGGTGATGTTTCTTTTAAGGGAATGCTTCCCGGTGCAGGGGAGGATGTACCCACTGTCGTCATCACTGCCCACTATGATTCCTACGGGCTGGCACCAGTGAGCCACGTAAAAATGATGTAAACACAGTTTTCTGCACTTGTAGTATAATGCTATGTTTGTTTAATGTTTGTATTTGTGTGTAACACAGTGGTTGTCATACGGAGCAGACTCTAATGGCAGTGGGGTCACCATCCTACTAGAGTTGGCACGTCTCTTCCAGAAGCTTTTTAGTAACCCAAGCACCAGACCACCGTGAGTTACAACCCCCCAAACCTTGCTGAAAACCTAGCTGTGTCCCATTCTCAAGAGAGCCGTACACTATCACCATCTGTTTTGGTAGATTACTGCTATTAATCTGAAAAAATGTCTTTCATGTAGAGGTAACCAACATAATATTCAATGCTTGATTGCTCTTTTAAAGATATCATTTAATGTTCTCCTTAACTGGAGGAGGAAAGTACAATTTTCTTGGCACGAAGAGATGGATTGAAGATAATCTGGACCATGCCGGTGAGTTTTTCTTGAAGTGTTTTGGGCTTTTTGAAAGTACTCTACAGCACCACCAGATCTGAAAACGAGCAGCCCTGATTTATTTCATCCAAACCTTTTTTTCCTCCAGAGTCCAGCCTGCTCCATGACAATGTGGCATTTGTTCTGTGTTTGGATACACTGGCCAACAGTGATGAACTGTACATGCATGTGTCCCGCCCTCCTAAACCCGACACTCCCATGCAGTCTTTCATTCAACAGCTGGAGGAGGTAACAAGCTTTATTGACAGGTCTAAAATATGGAGCAGGCCTTTCTCGGTCTTCATGGACTTAAATGTGTGATCACTCCACCAGGTGGTGTCCTCCAGATTTCCCTGGGTGAAGGTGGGATTGGTCCACAAGAAGATCAATCTTGTGGAGTCCACAGTAGCGTGGGAGCATGAGCGCTACAGCCTGCGCAGGATACCAAGCTTCACTCTGTCTCGTCTGGAAGACCCCAAATCTGAGCTCCGTGGCTCCATACTAGACACCATGTAGGTTCTTTATTCTGTGGTTCATTGTTATGACTTGGTGCTTGAAGGCCTTGTTTACTATAAGATGAGATGATATGAAAAGACGCATCACAGTTACCTTTGTGTCTTCTCACAGGTCACAAGTGGACTACAGGAAAATGAAGCGAAATGGCATCATCATAGCAGAAGCACTGGCACGTTATATGTACAATCTCTCTAACAAGGTGATTAAAATGCATGAAAATGGAATGCATGTATCCGAATACATATACTGTGGTTTCATCTGTCATCAGCATTTTAATGTGTGATTCATTTTCATTATCTTCTACAAGGTTGCACCAAAAGATGTGCAGGTTTTCAAGGGCCAATTGGTAAGTTGGCTGCTTATTTTGGTCAATAAACAAAGGCAAGTGCTGACCTCTGGTGTTAGTTTATAGGCATTGCAGAGTTTTGTGTCTTCAAAGTCTCCGGCCTTCATTTAATGATTGGGGGTATTTGAATAAAACCATTTATTAAGATACACCATCCTTCAAAAGTTTAAGTCACCTGTTATATTGATGTTGTTCTTCTTTCCTTCAATAGTGACTATTTTAACTCAGGCAAAAACAGTATAATTCAGACAATACATTTCAAATGTATTAATTACATTTGAAATAGTTTGGCCCCCCAAAAAATAAAAAGTCTACATTTTGAATTTGTTTTCCAGTCCAGAAAAGCATAGTTGACCCTCAATTTAAATTGACCCATAACGGTACTTTATATTATTTGGACCCTCTGCAGTCTACTCAGTAGTTGTATTGAGGAGTTTTAAACTGTGGTTTGTCAGTCCATAGTCTGTCTAGATGATATTCTGTGATCCAGTTCCAATAGTGCTCACCCTACAATAACCTTCTATTTCTGGTGTGCGGTTTTAAAAATAGCTTTGCTAAAGCAACACACCTGTTAGTATTCCAGCTTGTTATTGGCCGCATTATTGTACACTTGACACTGAAACAGGAACTTGTTCCTCTTTAAATCGGCAAACATGTTGCTGCAAAGCTTCCAGTTTCTTTTGCCAATGACTGATTTCCTCTATTCCTATTCCACTGTTGTTTTCTCAGCCATCAGACTCACAAATCAAGCTTTTCTGGCAGGCGATCCCAAACTTTTCAGTGGCAGTGTATATTTGGAGTGTAGAAAATTAGGTTTTTCATGCTCGACATTAGCTACTTTTATTTTTATGTGATGGCCTTTCCTACGTTTTTCTTTATGTGAATCCACGTCTAAACTGTTGACGCAGGACTTTCACGACAGTCGTATGTCCAGTCTGATGTCCTTCCTGACCTCAGTCCCTCGAGCCACCCAGCTGCTGGACAAAGAGCCCAGTCACATCCTGCTGGTCAACTCACTGGAGCACGAGTTCAAACGTTACCTGCAGCAAGTTCACAGACACGCCTACCGACAGGATAGGAGGTCAAATGTAGTAGCAGGAGAAAACACATACTGTACCTTGAAATGTCATCCCACTGCAAAGACATCACCCATGATTAACTACATTTCTTCATACAGGGACCCTGATATTACCTTTTTTGACCAAATGAACCAACCAATAGTGATGTACAGGTAAATATCTGAACTCGTATGCATTTTGTATGACATTTTTATAAGACACTAGGACACTGACACACTTTTTATTCCAGAGTGAAGCCTGCAGCCTTTGATCTCTTCCTCGGCGGCTGCATTGCTGCTTATTTGGGGATCGTCTACTATACCATCCAGGTTGGTTAATGTCTTTTATATTGTCCATTCATACTGTATTGCACAGCACCTTGTATGTCATCTCATACGTTCAACAGATAGGTCGTCAACGCTTGACATATCAGGTTTCTTTTCTCACACCACCCCTCTGTTCTCTCTTACAGAATTTTGATTATCTCTACACAAAGCTCAAAGCGGCAGTGAAATCCAAACACGACTGAATGAGACTGTGAATGCTGAGTCGATGACCAAGGCTTTGAAGTCTGCATTGCACATGTTGGACTCCTGCTTCACTGGCTGTGCAGAACATGAAAGCAACGCAGCAAGAATCTTCTAAGACCAATCATATGCACAACTTACAAAGTGTGCATTTGCTTTGAAATGTATATTGTTTTCATAAATACACTGTATTGAAAACCATTTCTCAGACTGGAATTTGTTGTTTGGACGAGATGTAAAGTAAACAAAACAAATAAAGGAGGAGTATGGGATTGGCCTAGGGTCAAAGTAAACTGTAGAAGGGAACACAAACTAGAGGTTGGGTTTGATTTGAGCACCCGTGAAGGACGTTGCTGCCGCATCATTACTATGACTCCCCATGCCCTCTGCTTTGCATCTGTTGACATGGATTTGACTCGGCTTAACGTGGCTGTCAAACAAGGCCCAGCCACTGCAGCGAGATGAACAGCCAGTTCCTGTCACAGATAACTCAGTGAGAACAGTGGAGACACAAAGGCACCCTGCAGCGCTTGGTGAATTATTGATGCTCATGTGGCATGCTGACAGAGGATAGAGGTGACCCTGGGTGGTGGTGGTGGTGGTGGTGGGAGATTCTTAGAAATCCCATCCCTCCTCTGGTTTGTTCCAGTTCTATAGATCTGATAAGACTGATTCTGTTTTAGCTATGAGACAGCTAAACAGCTGGGAGCTGAGTGTTTGAGATCAGTGCTGGCTAGTTTGTGTGGGGCCCTGGGAGGGAAGTAGGTCATGGACAGTGACCCAAGGTATGTGTGTCTCTGCAGGGGGCCTTGGGCTTTAGGAGGATTAGTGGCCGAGTGTTCAGGTAGCACAAAGAGTTGTTCTGGTTCAGCAAGGATGCTCTTAACCTTTCTCTACTCCCTACATATAGATCCATCACAATAGGTGCAAGTTAAACAAAGCTTTTACCATGTATTTGTTTGTTGATGAAGATCCCAGCAGGATTCATAGCTACTGATGCATGCACACATTTGATGTTGTGATACATTAAACATAGAATGATTGATATACATCAACAAGGTAGGTGGCATGCACAACCCAGCAACCATTTTTAGGATTAAAATTAAATTTTTGCTGTGTGAGTAAAAGAACAACAGACAGTGTGAGGGAAAGGGAGGAGCCACCAGGTGACAGGGGAGGAGAGGGATGTCCATTACTGTCAGGCGGACTGGAGGGAAGCAGTGGCAAATAGGTAAGACAATAAGTGAAGATGGCTCCCCAGCTCTACCTCACCATGTACAAAGAGCAGTTTTCCTCTCCCGGCAGAGCGAAACGAGAACAACTTCGGCCAACATCTGCCCACCGAAGGAACAACCCCCAGCCCCGGCCGGTAAGAGGCACAGCCACATGGACCTTATGGGTTTAAGGGGATAAAGTCATTATTTATGAAGACATGTTGGATTTCTTGAGAAAATGATAAATTCTACGTAATATTCCTTCAATTAATGTAATTCAGCAAATAATGTTACTCAAATAATTGAACACATTTCCAAGTGGTGCATGTAAGGTCAAACAAGGCTAATTGGATCACTTATTATTGGCACTCTCTTTATTGTTCTTCATTTAGCAAGACCTAGGAGTCTTACACTAATTGCCGACTGGTTGTTTACATTTCCCTCTGCGTGGTGAAAGCTGCATAACATCTATTATTCAGCACTTCCTCCATGCCTATTTATCTATCCTGACATGGAGAAAACAGCTAAAAACAGAGGACAGTTAACCGACTGTAAAAACCTACACTACAGTTTTCGGGGTATTATATTTGAAAATCACACTAAGTGCAAAGCCACGTAGGAAAAATCCAAATAGCATTTTAAAACCTGAATGCTCTTTACATTGTGAGTACTGAGAGAGAGGAATAATCTTGGACAAGGTTTATTCAATGAGAATAAATAAATAAATACAAAAGTAAAATAAAAAAAAGTACATATCAAAACCATATTAAATGTGAGATGTGTATGGTACATTTAAACAGGAATGTTTAAGGTTGCCCTTATCTTCTATTTCCACTTGTACTTCTTTTCTTTGCTTTCCAGGACTTTCTGTTTCCCCGGAGTCTTCAGTCCAACTACAGGTCACGCCGCTCACCATCACACCCCTCACCCCCTGTGGACGGTGGCCGTCCACTCTTTCCCCCTGTCAGACATGTATCATTCCACAGTCCACTTACGACTCATCCAGACAACTACCTGAACACAGTGGACAAACCAAACCACATGCCCCCTGTCAGCCCATCCACGGTACAAGCTCTGCCCTCTGCTGGCGGACTGCAGACACTACAGCTGACTGAGCCTCCTTCTGACACTGGGTTTAAGCTCCACGCAGCTTTGAAGAACCCAACAAGGTAGCAATAGAGCAGTTTAATCTGTGCTCCAAAGAGGACTCGAAATACACATTGATTCTAATTGATTGTCTTTGCATCAGTAGAACGAGTTATCAGAGGAATGTTCATCCACTCTCAGCACAGCAACTGAGGTGAGAAAATTACCTCTGACCTCTTCTAGTGGCCTTTAAACCCTTTAAACATTGGTAAACAACATACATTGACGAGCATTATTGATAACAATAGTCGACTGATTCTGACTAAATTGCGTTGTTTTTCACAGGCAACACGCAGGAGCTCAGCTTCGGACAAGACCGCAAACCAGCAACCCTCAACACCACTTTCCACGGACACAATACCGGAGGTCTAGTTCTAGTAGCAGCCAGGATTATAGCTGCAAATTATAAAAACTTTATTTGATCATGGTCATAAATAACAACCATGTGATTTCTGTCTCTCAACAGCGGGTGCTACAGCTGCTTCCATGTGGTGAAGCCTTACAAAGCTGGACACTACATCATACACCCAGACTTTGTGTCTGAATGCCTTCGTTAGGACTATTAGAGACCTGGCTTCCAAAGTGGGGACCGGGGACATGCAGAGCTCCTTGAGGACATCATTAACTTCACCATTGTTTAATTCTGCACTAATTAACCCAACGAGACAAGGTGTAACAATGAATAATGCAACTGTAGGCTGCACTCTCGCCACTATTATCTCCCTACATACAGCGTGGCCACTTTTACAATTCAGTACTAAATCAGCGGCAAAAACCTTCCCATAAGCTGCTTGTGGTGATCAAATCGAATGAGGCACCGTGGCCCTAATGTGTAACTGTCTGTGGCATTACAATTTTATCCCACTATTAGAAGATAATTTTATACATTTGATATAGGAATTCTTTATTGCATGATCAGACGGTTAAAACAGAAATAGTACTGTAAACAATCAAACTTTACACAGGGGATTTAAATACTTACCATGGTTATTATTATAGGTAATTTATAGTACACTGCCTTGTACAGATGGTCCCCATAGAAATAGCAACATGTGTTTGTTTTTCCCCCCTAACTTTGCTAATTGCAGTTCTTTAAAACGCGTTTTTGGCACCCTTGCCTCTCGCTATTCAACCCGTGTGTTATGTGAAGTTTCTGTACAACTCGTGTGACTTTGCTCAAATCATGTAAAACAGTGTAATCTATGCAGAATGAGAACAATAAACTATTGTGCTCCCACCTACTGGACTACATTTCCCATGCTATGGTGGGCGCAGACGAGGCGGATCCGCAACAACGTGCATGTCTTGGTCATTTTTCTGTGAACTGTGGCAAACAATTTTGTGGCTGTAACTGCTGAGGGGGCCGCTGCTGATCGGTAGGCAAAAAAAAACTATTTTTAATGAACAGCTGAGAGTAAAACAGAACACGCATTACGATAATATTATGCCACTGTACTTACACGGACTCTGGGTTATTTCCCCTCCGTCAACTTTCTTGTACGACCCACCACCGCGCACAACAACGTCTTCAGTATGCATTCGACTATAGGCTACTGTAGGCTAGAAGTTGTGGGTACATTAGCAAAGACGGCATTCTTTTTTTATGTACGATTATTAACTTATAAATGCACGTTTGTATGTACAGTAGCTACGTTTAAATTTAGTTTATTAGCAGAATATATGCCTATAAGAGACTGATGGTCTTATCGGTGCGCTGCAACATGCCACACACACACTCTCTACCTACGCGCACGCTCAAACGCGCGCGTGCCTTTTGAGGTAGTGAGCCTCTCTCAGACTTCTGTTCAGACTGCATCAGCTCTTCTGTGTTTGCTTTCCCCATGTCAGAGGAGATAGTGAATCGGCTGAAGTGGCAGATATGAATCCCCCTGTTCACACCATAAACATAGAAATGCCCCAGTCTCAACATTTTGAAACGGAGAAAAACACGTTGAAGTTCAATATTTGTGTTCACTACAGACCTTTATGTAAAAAAACACCAGTTAATCGACTAATCAATTAGTTTAAGGAGAGAAAATGTATCTGTAACCATTTTGATCAAATGTAATTTGGTCTATATTAGATAGACAGTAGATCATTGTATCATGCTTTTTTATTATGTGTTTTCTAAAATAATAATAATAATAAAAAGATTAATCTTTAAAGTAATTTTAGGCAAAACATTTCCTGGCTCCAGCTTCCTTTCTGGTTACAAATGTGATTATTTGCTGTAGAGCTGCAATGATTAATCAATTAGTTATTTGACAGATAATCAATTATTTTGATAATCAATTAATGCAAAAACGCTCTGGTCCTTAAAAGTCAGAAGTTGATGCTTTGCTTTGTGATATAAATAGTAAACTAAATATCTTTGGGTTTTGATTGGTCAAGTAAAACAAGCTACCTAAATAGATCATCTTTGGCTGTGGGAATTGGCATTTTTCCTTATTTTGTAATGTTTTTTGGATAAAAAATAGTAGTTGATAGATTGAGAAAATAATCAACAGATGAATCAATAATATACATATAATTGTTGGTTACAACCTTAATTTGCTAGTCTTAATAAATGTATTATCTTTATGTTTTTGGTCTGTTGGTTGATTAAAACAAATTGAAGACTTCCCCTTGCACTCTGGGAAGCTGGGTATTTGACCCAGTTTTTATATAATTTCATAGACTAAACAATTAATTGAGAAATTATCATCATATTTATTGATAATTAAAACAATTGTTGGTTGTAGCCTGATGTGAGGAATATCACAAATCATAGATTGTAGTATGTTAAATTCATACATCTGTCGTTGCACTTTTCCATTTATAAAGAAGGAAAAAAAAAAGACACAAGCAAATAAATACAGTAAATCTTCTGTTGACTTTCCTGGTCAATTCCAGCAGTGGATCTCTGAGTAACCAACACTAAGTTCTCTGTTAGTTAATGATGGGCTCATGTTATCACTCCTGTTGTTGGGGGTAAATCCATACTAAGGCTGGTTGAACACAGAATTAGTCAATTAGATTGCTAATTAATAGCAAGCATTTTTTATTATCGACCCTTGCTGCCAGGGCAGACCACGAGAGTCAATTGCAGTTAGGACCAGTCAGCAAACGGAGAATGTGGAGAGGACTGAGCTCCCCTCGGTTGGCTGTGCACCTTAATCTAATCTATTCTGATTAACTAAAGCCACAATAACTAGCATCAACTAGTTGATTACCCAAATAGTTTTTGCTGTATCTCTGCTGGGAGGGACAGCCAGGTCTAAATGTAATAGAAATGCAAAAATGCATGTCCAAATGTCTGTTTATTTGGCTTGAATGAACCAGGTTACTTCCAGTTTTGTTTGGCTTGATGGAGCACAAAGTTTAGTATTCTTTCCTCTCCTTCCCAGCATTGGCATACCCTTAAGGCCGAAATCCCCTTTTCTGCTCCTCTACTTCCTTCCATACAAATGAGTCTTCTTTCAATTGAACTCATATGTTAGAATTACTGCTGGGAACAACCACTTTATCCTCTTATGGGTAATTGGCAGTAGATTTGTTTTGTTAAATCTCAGACACATTTTAAAGTTTTCATCCTGACAGTGTAATACCTTTAAGTGATGTGGAATCACTTAGTGCAGCAATGCAAAGCATGTAAGACAATGCTAGAAATGTAATGGAGGCTTTACACTGACAAGGAAACAAGATAGACTGAGAAACGGGCTGGCATATCATGCTGTTCTGGCTGTGGCTGTTCTCCTCGATGTCTCTGATAGTTAAGTGATTTGAAAGAATTTTTTGACTAAACAGAACTGGTAAGCAATATTAGGTGAATGCTCTGTACAAAGGCTCCTAGTACAGGCAGCCTTTTTGTTCTACTTTGAACCCATTTTCCCTCAAAAACAGTGTTGATATATGAAGATCAAATACTGCGTGAAGACCTTGACACTGACTTTTCAAAGCTTGTTTTTTTCTCTCTTATGACAGGCAGAGTGCAGCAATCAAGGTTCCCTGGGAAACATTTCTATGATCTTAAGAACAGCAACTGTCGGATTTGCCCACTGAACGGCACAAGTCATGTACCAAGTTGTTCCCGGAGGAGCGGGAGGCACAATTACAGATGTTATCCCCAAGCAGAAGCACAGGAAGGACACTCGACCCTTGGTCGGAGCTGGAGTAATCGGCTTGGTGCTGGTAATTGCAGCAGTGACTGCATGGTGTTATTACATAGCCTCTCTACGCAAAGCTGAGCTGCTTAAGACTGAGCTCCTGGATCTGAATAAAGATGGCTACATTATCCGCAACCAGGGAGGGTCTATTGTTTTCAGAATGGATTTCAGGTTGGTATTTCTCCGTGTATTGATGCACAATATGTTAAATGTAAACTGTTACAAAGTAAATGGGAAATGTGTCTGTTGAGAGAGATTCCTTATAAATGTAATTATATGTAAATCTTGGCAGGTCAGGTACGCTGGATTTGGATTCATGCTCCAAAGAAGGGGAGATGCTGAGCTGCGGACGCACCACTAATAGAAAACTGAACTTCTTCATTGAGACAGTTCGACCCAAAGACACGGTGCAATGCTACCGTGTGCGTTGGGAGGAACTGGTTCCGGACATTCCTGTTGAGCATGCCATGACGTACACGTTTGCACACTGGTATGGTGGTGCAGTATCAGCAATTCAACACTGGCCTATTTCTATTAATGGCCAACAGGCTCCCAAACCCTTTGTTACCAGTGACATCTACTCTAACCGCAATGAATTTGGAGGAATTTTGGAAAGTTATTGGCTTTCATCCAACGCTACGGCCATCAAGATAAATAATTCAGTGCCCTTCCACCTGGGCTGGAATGACACGGAGAAGACCATGTCCTTCCAGGCGCGATACAATGACAGTCCCTTCAAGCCAAACCCAGGAGAGGCACCATGTGCTGAGCTTAGCTACAGAGTGTGCGTGGGCTTGGATGTGACATCCATACACAAGTACATGGTCCGCAGATACTTCAACAAACCAAACAAAGTGCCTGCCAAAGTCATGTTTCGCCATCCTATATGGTCGACCTGGGCGCTACATAGGACTGACATTGACCAAGAGAAAGTCTTGACGTATGCCGCTAACATCCGCAAATATAAGTTTAACTGTAGCCTCCTGGAACTAGACGACCGCTACACCAGCCGCTATGGAGAATTTGAGTTTGACCAGACAAAGTTCCCTAATGCCTCGTCCATGTTCCAAAAGCTGAAATCAGATGGATTTCTGGTGTCGCTCTGGATTCACCCTTTTGTTAACTATGACTCAGAAAACTTCCATACTTGCGTAGAGAGGGGGCTGTTTGTCCGGGAGCCTACAGGCCAGCTGCCAGCCTTGGTGCGCTGGTGGAACGGTATTGGTGGCATTTTGGACTTCACAAATCCAGAAGCTCGCGATTGGTTTTCCTCCCAGCTCCGTTCGCTGCGCTCCAGGTATGGGGTGTCATCTTTTAAATTTGACGCAGGGGAGACTAACTACTTGCCGTGGAAATTTAGTACCAGAACTCCCATTCGGGACCCAAGTCTTTTCACAAGACATTACACGGAAATGGCTATTCCCTACAATGACAGAGCTGAGCTGCGCAGTGGCTACCAGTCCCAAAACATATCCTGCTTCTTCAGACCAATTGACAGAGACTCTGTTTGGGGCTACGAGTTGGGTCTCAAGTCTCTTATCCCCACCGTGCTCACCATCAGCATTCTGGGCTATCAGTTCATTTTACCAGACATGATCGGAGGGAATGCATATCTAAACCGCACAGATGGTAAAAGTGTATTACCCGACCGGGAGCTCTATATCCGCTGGCTGGAGCTGACGGCCTTCATGCCGTCCATGCAGTTTTCTATTCCGCCATGGGCATACGACAACGAGGTGGTTGAAATTGCTCGGAAATACACAGCACTCCATGAGCGTATTGTGGCGCCACGGGTCCTGGAGCTGGCTGGCGAGGTGCTGGACACCGGGGACCCAATCATACGGCCCCTGTGGTGGATTGCCACAGGTGATGAAACGGCCTATAAAATTGACTCCCAATTCCTGATTGGGGATGACCTCATGGTAGCCCCAGTTTTAGAGCCTGGAAAGCAAGAGCGTGACATCTACCTCCCTGCCGGCCATTGGAGAAGCTACAAGGGGGAGAGATTTGATATCAAGGAGCCGCTGCATCTCACAGACTATCCTGTTGATCTGGATGAAATTGCTTACTTTCTTTGGGTGTAGCAAGAAGGGAATGTACAGCTGAAAAAACTTGACAAGCCTTTGCTGCAATTTGCTTGTAAGACAAGCTTCACAAATTCAGCTTTCATGCTTGAATGAAACAGTTCTTGGAAAATCTTTTCTTCAAAAATATATGAAGACTTTTTAAATTATAACATCACAAATGTGAAACCGTTTCACTCAAAAAATGCTCAAACCCTCATTTAATTTAATTTAAACAAATTGATGGATCATCTTTATATATATACATGTATATGATTGATGGATCATCTTTATCTATATATATGTATATATATATATATATATATATATATATTTGTGGTTTAATAGAAAGGTAGCTAGTTAAAGTGGAGTTTTTAAAGAGCGACTGTGTAACTTTTTCTGAATGGCACTATGGGCTAATCATGAATGTAATATAGCAGAAGCACAAGCAGAGAAGAGTTATACAAGTCAACAAACAGACTCCATAATGTCAATTTTTGTTCAAAGTTCAAACCATAAGCTACTGGTCATACCAGACTGACAGTATAGAAGTTACATAGTCTCACTTTAAAGCCTGTACAAATCATGTGTATGAAACATTTGTCAAAAAGGGAATATGCAAACAATATGCAAACAATATGCAAACTGAATTAAGTAAAGCATACTTGTCATTGTGTGCCATAAAGATGACAGGTAGTAGGCCACATAAAACCTTCTATATTAACTTCCATTTGACTGAGATGTCCTACTTTCCTTTGACACTAATGACTCTTCTACTCCTCTGCTCCGAAATACTTTTCAGGAAGTCAGGTTTTATGCTTCACTTATCAGGATGAATGCTTGAAGTTTAATCATTATAAACTGCATGTGCTCTCATTTGTGGAACACAGTGTCATGTAACTACTCTTAGTCCAGATGAAGATGCCTTTTATTAGGCACTAAATATTTGATGCTCCTCCTCAGGTAACAGCTTTTTCTGGTGTGTTTTAAAGTGTCTGGTTGAGTCTTTGTCTTTATTGTGCTTTGCTGACTCCAAATCCAGCTAAACAACTATAGTGTATGATACATTGAAGACAATAACTTAAGTGAAACTGGTCTGGGTACTTTACACCTACTTGGTATGCAGTGTGGAAGTCTATAGGTGCAATGAATTTACCAGCATTTAATTATCAAATTTAATGGTACAATGTATTTTGTGACCTTGTGTTTTGTTGATGTGAATAGTTTGTTAGTGTGGTGATATCTCCAAGTGCCAAACGTTAATATTTACTGCCACATACTCTTATGCAATTTGTTGTTAAGCTATACATTGAATATTTTACATTGATTGTATTGTCCATTTATTATGTGATATTTTTTCTTAATTTAACCCTTAATGGGGTGAGTTAACCCTTTATGCACAATCCCATGGTCAACAAAGTGTACCACAAATGCCACAAAATAACATTTTATATTATGTAGCTGCAAACATAAACCTTTCTTTAAGTACATCATGTGATTTTGCAGATGCACAGAGGAAACTGATATTGATTGTCTCCGGAAGTGACTTATTTCAAAGTGAAAGCAATAGAGAATAAAATTGGGAACATGGAAAAATGACTTCCTGTGGCTCCCGTGTTCGCTTTTTAAAACCTTGTCGAGATGGATTCTGATGAGATTTGAAGCTGCAATAATGAAACTAACATGTTAATATAAAATAACGAAAAAGGAAACGTCCACATTATTTTGGTCCAATATTTCCATATGTTAATACTTCTTTATTTTTGTTTAACGCTGTCTGTGTGGCATATAGGTTGACCTATGTGGATTTTGTTTGTGCCTTTTGACATAGTTTCCCTATTTATAGCAGTTCTCACTCAGCATCTGGGCCAGGCCAACCTCTCAGGCTATTTCTGTCTCAGACTGTCTTGCTCTATGACGAGACGCAGAGGCTGAATGTTCCTTTGCGTTTGGCTCTTTTGACCCAGTGTGTGGGGTCCGCCTCCAGTTATTGCAACTGAACATTGCACTAATTTCGTTGAGAGTGCATATTTGATATTGTTTCATATGAATGCATTAAAAGAAATCAAGTTTGACTTTTGTCTGTTTGTGAGCATTTTCGTTGTCCTTGATTTGAATATTATAATCTTTGTTGTTAAAGTAAACATCACATGGTACATAAAGCCCTATTTCCCCCATTAATACCACTCCCAGATGACTTTTACTTTTTCACACACCTACACATAAAACACAAGAAGAAAAGACACATGGACATTAAATCCAGGTCAGTAAGCGGAGCGTGCGACCAGTGAGCCAATAACAACCTGTAACCTCTTATGAGTCTGCAATACAGGAAAACTAATGTGCCTCTCAGTTCAGTATTGAAAGAGACACCCTTGAGGGACTTTTCCAACTTTTGGTGCCCAGCTCATCACGGGGCGATAATGACAAGGTGATGAAACAATTGTGCAGGTTATTTGGAGGCTGTGTTCGGATCAATAAATCATCTGGTGGCTCTTGATGTGAGGCCAGAGAGCAAGTGATATGAAACGAGCAGACACCAAGAATAAAAAAGATAAACTTCAGTAGGAGATAATAGCAACACTATTTATTAGAATTAGAGCCGTAAGCATGATTGTTTGTCTGGGTTCAAACAGCCTGGCAGAACCATTTTCTGACGGCTGTAGTCGATCTTTCAGAGGTTTGGGGAATTCATTCCAAAACAGCGGGATATGCTTAAGAACTACTTCACTTTATTTGCCAATGCCTCATCTTCCTTCAAAATTGATCTGGACTTGCAGCCTGTGTGGGGAGGACATACGTACATTCATTGATTAGCTGTCCGTGTGTTGCAGGGATCAATAATATTTGTCTGTTTGCTTTTTGCAATCATATTGTCTGCCTCTGCCCATCTTTTCATAGGATGGACAAGTTATTTATGTAGTAGCTTTGAGGGGAATTTGGAGATTTCCAGGAGGAGGGATTAGAAAAAAACTGACAATTTTATGCCAAAGTAATAGGGGCTTTAATATATATTTGTACTTAGTTCAGTGTGTTGGGACACATGCTGCTTTACTGTTTTTAACAAATTGAAATGAAATAATGAAAAAATGAATATTTACTTGATGTTGATAGTACGAGTGGAGGAAACAGCATAAAAGTACGTAACACAGTGTTTGAAAGAAAAAAGTATTTAAAAATAATGCATAGGTTTCTTTCACATATTTGTGAAAGGGCTTTAACAGACATTGAAAACGAAACAAAGGATGAAATCTGTGGGTGTTTTGGCCATGTGGTGCTGCAGACCTCCAGAAGGGTGCAGTGTAGCTTCATTGATATTTCTCTCTGACATGTCAGTGGACCATGGTCCAGATGTTAGGTGCGTGTACACGCACACACACACACACACACACACACACACACACACACACACACACCAAGCAGGACACAAAAACTGGCAAAGCCCTTCTCCTCCTTCCTTCCCCACCTGTGAGCCCACCTGTGTGTCCATCTGCAGAGGAGAGACGCCAGTTGTTCTGGTTAGGAGCCAGTGTGTCTCAAGTACCTTCCCATATCCTCCTTGAGTCTGCTGTCTGTCGTCCCCAGTAAGCCATATATATATTACACACAGAGAGGAGTGGTGCTCGGAACAACAACCATAAAACACTACAAACAGATGCATCTTTTGCAATTTCAAACTTGCTTTTCTAATCGGTTAATGTCCTCAGTTGTTTGGAATTTAAATAATGACCACTATCAAAAAATGAGTGTTAAAATGATTTTTTTAATCACAGCGTTGTAATGTATGTTTTTGTGAATTAAAGTGCCAAAGATTTGACATAACATTACCTCAATTTATGTTGTAATTTGTACAGCCTAATTCAGCTAGACTTCAGCCACAATGAATAATATATATTGCAAACAACTTATTAAACATGATAATTGGAGATAAACATTGAAACTACTGAATCCATCATGAAAGTTGCACTTAAATTACAATTATAAAGCAAAATGAACAATAGACAGACTATGATGAATAAGCTTCAGTTTTTATTAAAAAAGTGCTCCAGCTTCTTGGAGCCAGAATGAGCGTTTATTGTAAGGGGCCACAGGGGAAATAAAACCCCATGGCTGTCTCTCTTGTATGAAGTGTGAATCTTTGTCCTTAACCCAAGATTTTCTCTCCGTAACTAGAATGACCTCGCATCTGGTGCTGCCATGGCTTGTCTGACAGGAATATGTCTGTCCTCGCTAGGTAACAAATGAACCCGACACCCCTGAGACTCGTCTCGCATCTGTTTATCTTTTTTTTTACCTGTCGGTTCGCTGCACTGCATCAGACTTACACTCCTCTGCAGCCTTTGTGGATTTCAGAGCATGCCTCTGGCATTACGGGGTAGGAGATAGTTGCTGTTGTTTGTTAACTTTATGACTGGGTTTAGTATTACAGTGTGTAAGTGCACTTACATATTTGTTTTTTTCATATCTTATTTATTTTTGACTTTTGATACTCTTTATTGGTACACTGTTCTTTTTTTTATTGGCTTCCTTTAGTATTTTTTACATTTGGTGTTTTTCTTATATCTTAGCTTGAGCTGAAACAATAAGTCGATTAATTGATTAGTCGAATGAGAAAAATAATCTGCAATTATTTTGATGATAGATCAATTATTCAAGCAGTTGCTGAATATTCTCATGTTCCAGATACTAAATGTGCTGCTCTTCTTTTCTTTTTCTTTTCTAAACCAAACAACTTTGGTTTTAAGACTGTTGGTTGGACAAAACAATCAATTCCATGACATCACCTTGAGCCTTAGGAAATTATTATGGGGTTTTTAACTATTTTCTGACATCTTATAGATCAACTTAACCAAGAAAATAATTGGAAAATAATTTGATAACGAAAATCACAAGTTGCAGCCTGCGGTGGTTGTAGCCGTAGACTTTGCACCTGACTGCGACTGTAATTTTGCTGTTGCAGACGATGACAACAAAGCTCTCTTGAGTATGCAGATAGTATAAAGTTAAGGAAACCGGCGACAGATATGCTTGAACAGTAAAATTAAGGACTTAGGGGAAGACAACAAGCAGGGCACTTCCTCTGTGCCTTGGTGGGGGTAAGAGGTTGAACGAAATGTCAGCCACTGAGGAACAGATGCATAATTGAAACATTGCGCTGCTGCTACAGCCGTGCACAAGGTTGTTTGATTGATACCGTTTTAGAACACTCCTGTCCCCTCATGCTCATGGGGTTTACCTGGGGAGAAACCAAGGGAGGGGG